TCATAAATATCTGAAGGATGGTGTTATCTTCAACCAATCAGTTGAGCATTGTCCAGTAACTCTCCCTTCGTGGTAGAACAAGATTGGTATGTCTGGATAGTTGTATGTGAAATGAATATCGTTCGGACCTTCTCGAACGCTCAAGTTCTCGGGATAACCAAAAAAATTGGAGGATGCATTTGAAATCTCCTGGTTTATAATTTGCGCAACTACCGAACCCGAAATGTGAGCCTTGTTTTTTACCATCTTCTTCAAGTAGTACATGTTTTTCTCAAATACATACATCCACCTAAAATGGACGGGATCACCTTAGGCTGCTTCGTCTGAAAGGTGCACAACAAGATGTTCCATAACAGAGAAGAACGAGGGAACAAATATTTTTTCCAAGTTACAAAGCTTCAAGGCGATATTTGCCTTTAAAAGACCAACATCTAATTCTTTCAAAATCTTCAATTAAATATCTCGAAAGAAGAGAGAAATATCTGTAAATAAAACATTAAAGTTATAACATCAATTTTAGTACCATAAATATGTAAATGGGAAATTATAAATTACCTCTAATTTATGTGTGAACATTATTGGGTAGGAGTTCAGCGAACACAAATGAGTATAGTCGTTCCATAATGACATGACCATCATGATTTTTCTATCCATGTAGCTTCAGACTGTTTTCGTCAATACATCGACTAAATTTGGAGGCGTATCATCCGGGGAATTTTATGTCATTTTTCAACCACATAAGGAATTGTCGCTTTGTCGCATTAGACAACCTAAATATTGGCACATGCATCGTTCCATCTTCTTTCATCTCTAAATCTCGCGTTTTCCAGTCCCAGAAATCTAATCTGCTTTTGATATTGTCTTTCGTCTTTCCAGGAGCATTTAACAATGTGTTCGGCATATTATCGAAGAAGTTTTTTCTCAATATGCATGAAATCAAGATTATGTCGAAGAATATGAGTTTCCTAATACGGTAACTCCCAGAAAATACTCTTCTTTACCCAATTGTGAGTAACTCCGTACTAAGATATCGTCCGAGATGGGTTTGCATGTCCATTCCCTTCATAATTAATGGTTTTTGATAAACCTTGTATATTATTTATCCTTGCACGGAAAATTTCTTCTTCAGTCAACAACGGTGGAGGAGGATCCAACACTATTTTTCCCGTTTAAATGCTTGATTGTTTCTCCTGTAGGGATGATCCCGATCAAGAAATATTCTGTGGCAATCAAAATAACTTTGTTTCCGTCTATTAGGCAACCAAAATGCACCCATCTCATCTTGACAGTATGGACACGCCATCCTACCATGAGCCGTCCAACCTGACAGCATGTCATACACTGGAAAGTCGCATATCGTCAACATCAATACTGCTCGCATGATGAACATTTATTTCCTTGAAATATCATATGCCTCCACACCATCCCTCCATAAGCTCTGTAATTCTTCAATCTATAAGAAATATCTAAGCTTTTCTTCGGATATTTAGGCTCGGGAACTAGTACCGAAAGGAAAAAGATTTCCTTTTCATGCACATTTCTGGAGGCAAATTGTTAGGAGTTACATTAACCGGCCAAATAGAGTGTGCTTCACATTCACCATTCATACCAATCGGATTAAACCCATCTGTTGATAAGCATCGATATATAACGACTTTCAGCAGCAAATGCAGGATATACCTTATTAAAGTGCTTCCACGCTAAGGCATCAGATGGGTGATGCATCTCGCCTTCCGGACACACATGTTCCATATGCCACCGCATTTTGAAGCTGTCACCTCGAGTTGGTATAGACGTTTGAGACGATCTGTTATCGGCATGTAAAATATTTTTTATTTTGGTATATTTTTCCCTTTTCCATGGTTTGGGTAATAGCGATCTGCTTCACAAACCGACACTTGACCAACTTCGCATCTTCCCCCTTCCAAAAAAGCATGTAGTTATTCTCGCAAACATCAATCTTCTGTACGGGTACCAAGAGCTCATGTCAACTTCTTTGTCTTGTAATACGATGATGGAGCTTTATTCGGCTGCGGAAGCATTTTTTAAAAATGCTTCAGATCATTCATCTACACAAGCTTCTGCCACATTATAATATGTCTTTACTTTCATCATCCGCGAAGCAAGATACAACTAAGATATTCCTTCTGGGCATACATCGTAAAGAGGTTGAGTAGCTGCTTCAAAAGCACTATTATGATATGGCTCCGCTATATCCATATCTTCAATAGGTTCCGGCATGTATGTCGGCGCAATGTCCGCCTGTACTTCTGGAATTTCGTGGTAACGATCATCATGAATATTCCAAGAAGGTTTCTCCCACATTACCTCTTCACCCATCAGAGAATTCGCCCCAGAACTTTCCCTAATATCATAGAATTTTTCTCCATCGTTCGTCCAAATGTAGTAATTCCCCTTAAAACCGTAGGAGAAAAGATGTCTTGAAAACACTTTTGCATCTCGTTGCTTCACGTTTTTGCATCGCGCACAAGGACATAATAGATTTTTCCGCTCCTGATAATCAGCTTGATTACTCGCAAATTCAAGAAATGCTTTGATGCCTCCTAGAAAAAAATTCTGAAACATGATTAATTTCTGGATCAATCCTTTGATCTATCCATTCTCTTGACTCAAAGTAGAACGACATAATTTTCTTACAAATCTTGGGTGTTTATAAGTGATTGTATATCATCTTTCAAATACTTCCATTCTGGCGAGTTTTGAAATATAATGAAAAATTAAGCAACTACAAAGCCACTGTATTTCCGTGGCTATACATAAAATATCTCTGACCCGAGTGCAGTAAATCAGCCACGCTTTCTACATAGCCACGCAAAAAGCCACGAAAATATAGTGGATTTTGTCTTTTGGTTGCAAGATTTGACACATCCCTGCCACTTATATGTCGGCACAAGAAAAAAAAATTATAGCCACGCCAAATGTAGTGGTATTCTCGTGGCTATTTCTATAGCCACGGTATATGTCAGTGGTTGTGTAGTGGCTTTTATGTTATCAAGGCTTTGCTGTGGCTGTTTTGTGGCGTTTTTTATCTAGCCACTATTTTGGCGTGGCATAGTAGTGACGACGCGAAAAATATTTACTAGTGGTCTTCTTTTAGTGATCTAATAGTCTGTAACATTTATTTCAAAATTCTAATCAGTTATATTGATATATAATAATAATATCTATAAGATTCTAACGACATGTATATGTCTAAATAGCAACGATGTTTTCATATTATCTATTTATTTATCTTAAATATTTTTAGCTAGAATTTAAACTGAAAGAAAATACTCCCTTCGTTTCATATTAAGTGTCATTATAGAGAAAAAAATTCTGTTACAAAATAAGTGTATTTTATTAATTTTACTATGTAATTTGTTTTTCTATTGGTTAAAATGTGGTTAGGTGTATAAATAATCGTGTTTTTATATAGAAAATATGAAAAATTATATGTTTTCTTAATATGTGTGAAAACTCTAAAATGACACTTATAATGTAACAGATGGAGTAAGTATAGTAAAATAAATAGTTTAATTGTTGTAAGAAATATATTAATTTCAATGCTATTATTAGTTAAAATAAATGAAACATTTAGAATATTTTATTATTTATAGTTTTTTTTATTTTTCCTACGGGCGGGTTTACCCTAGTCTTATTATCTAAAGAAGGGTTTTTCTCCCTCATGTGATGTCGCGTCACTAATTTGTCTCACCTCAACATGACAAGTGTCCTCTACATTCAAATCCCAGCGTTTATTACGTTATAACGCAATCAATTCCTAAACGTTTTTATTGGGCTATCATCTGGGCTTGGCAAATTAATTCTTTATGGGTTTTGTATTGTTTTTTGTCCATTCTAGGAGACTCCACCGTCTTCGGTAAAATCTTCACCGAAACCATTATCAAATGATTCTCTTCATCTTCCTGATTAAGAAAAATTGGAAACTTTTTGCAGTTAGGCGAAGGATAATCTTCAACGCAGTCATCAACTATTGTCGATCTATCCTTCAGTGCTTCCTCATTTACTGCTTTCACCAAAAAATTTAGCTATAAAAAGCAATGCTTGACCCATGACATACATGAGATCTTTCTTCCCCTTTTGAACTCAAAAGTACTTTCAGCTTTACTATGTAGTTTTTTTTATTTTTTGTATTCTTTATCGGGTCAGGCATAGCTTTGATCATGTTTTGATTATCAAAATTATTGGGCATTGATCATGTTTTGATTATCAAAACTTTCAGCCCTAATAGTTTCAACGGAGACCAATTTGTTCATGTTTTCATTATCAAAATTATTCCCGAGAAAGTTTTGTTATCTTAATCATGTCAGCTTCCAAGGAGAAGCAAGCTAGAAGTTACTTAGTGTTTATAGCTGTGGAGGTTTGTCTGGCTATCCTACACCGCAAGGTCCAGCATATCTAAGCAGAAGTTTGAACTGATCATTTGAATAGGCTGAGCAAACCTGCTGTCAAGAGTATTCAGGTCAGATCAATCTGTTATCTTCTTCTTTTTGAATATTTTCTGCTTTGGCTGGTTTTGGTAAGTATCACAATCCGGTTTCTATTTCTTTTACCTTTTGATTTTGTTTATTTTTTTAGATTGAACAATAAGTTATAATTGAGTCGAGATTATTTTTTTTTAATGGTTTATCTAACGAAATTTTACAACCTTTGGATGTGATTAACAAACCATTCAAGGAGATGTAATTGCATGTGTTCCTATCACAAAGCAACCAGAGTTTGATCATCCTTTACTCAAAGATCACAAGATTCAGGTACATAGATACAATGTTTACTTTGATTTTATTTGGGTGTTATGTTTTATGTTTTATGAGCTGATGTTTAGTTTACTTGGGCTTCTTCTTTAGATGAAGCATAATTGTCATCCTGAGGGACTCTTTGATAACAACAAAGTGTCTTTACGACATCAGAAGTAGAAGGACATACAAATCCCTCAGTTGTGGCATGGATATGATAAATGTGCCGAAGAAACCATTCCCATGAGGAGAACAAAGGAAAATGATGTCTTGAGAGAAAGTTCATTCAATAGATACGGCAAGAAGAAGCATAAAACTTTCCCGTTTCCTAAATCTGAGGAGCCTGACCTCATGAACCAAAGTGGTCATCAGATGAGTCAAAACAAATTTTTGTTGGTTTCTTGATATGAGATGTGTTATTTGTTTTGGTTTGTTGAACTGTAGCATGCGATAGCTTATTTGGAAGGGATAATTACTACGGAGCTAAAGCAACTATAAATGTGTGGGAACCAAAAATACAGCAGCAACATGAGTTCACCTTCTCGAAGATATGGCTTCTCAGTAACTTATAAGGAATGTGAATATGATTTTTTATTCTCATGTTCTTTTTTATGATTGATGTGTGCTTTATTACAGGTTAGCCGGATTTATATGGTGACAATAATACAAGACTCTTCACTTATTGGAATGCAGGTTCGTGAGACTATTGTATAATCAAATTCTTATGGTCATGTGCTTCGGTTCCATATAAGCTAAACCGAGTGTACCTGCCAACCACCGTTTAATCAGCTCTATTACTAGACCATTCATAGGGGTTCTTTCAAGTCTTATTTCTCTATGCAAACACATATTTATTGTCAGATATTGTTAGCTCACCGTTTCTCACTCCTCATTGAAGTGTCATTACATGTTATATATGGGCTCATCTCATATAATTTGCTTATGGATCCTCACAGAAGAGGTCCAAGTCTTCATGTCTATTACTAGAATTAATAAGTTATCCCAAAGTTATTATACGCTTCTCCGTCTTTTCTAATCCTAACCATAGTTTAAACTGGTTAGCAGTTAATTTAATAATAAATCCCACCTGTAAGTCTATGGCCATAATTATATATAAATATATAACCAATGTAAAAAAACTTATATTACAAAAGGAAATCAAAAGTAATATAATCACTAATTATAACTTGAATATTAAATAATAATAATTGTTTTAATAAGTTTTAGTTATTTTGGATAATATAGTTTATTTGAGAATTTTTGCAACTAAATATGTAAATCTTTAAATAGTTATGTGGTAAGTTATCAAGTTGAATGTAAAAAGATAAGTTTTACTTTTTGCCTAATTTAGGACAATAGATTCCAAAGAAATGTGTAAAATGTATTTAAAGACATATCTATATTAGAGAAAAAGATTTGTGTGTTGAATTCTAATTCTAAAGAATTTTATTTTATTTATTATTATAATAGAAGCGAAACAAGTATTGCGAAATGTAAAATAATTACATGATTAAAATGAAAAAATTCTTATAAGTTAGAAACCTATAATTGTAACTAAGAATAACAAAAACAAATGGTGAGTGTATATAAAAATCAATTTTAATTGAGAATAAACTTAAGTAAAATCTGCTATAGAAGTATATTATGTTATTAGTTTATAAAATACTATTTTAAAACAATAATTTAAAATAGCATGAGAAACACTCCTAAAAAAATAATTTTACTATGATATTATTAAACTATATATATAGTATTTTAAAATTTTTAATTAGATTAATTTAATCAAATGTTATGATATTTTAACTCATTTAGTTTGGAGATAGACTATTTTATTATCGTGAAAGAAATGATTTGTGTAACTATTTTTTTATAATTTGGATATTTTTCAAATAAATATAGTATTATTTATTTAAACTTGAGATTTTTTTATTATATAAAACTGAAATAGAGATACTAAAAATAATATATATATATATATATGTTATTAAATTTTCTAAATTATTTTTTTCTAAATTGTATTCTCAAAAAAAATAGAGAATAACAAAGACTATTGTCATTTTGATTCAAACCAAAAATATTTATTAAAAATAAAAATATGATCTCAGAATTCTTTTCATTAATTTTTTTTCTTTGGACTCATCATTATTTTTTTGTTTATGATATTGTTTTCAATCAATAATAATTTTAAATGCTTCATAAAATTAATATAAAATCATATAAAGTAGTTTTATTATAATACGTCCGTACGGTGGGCTGTTATGTGTTAGAAGTTCTATAGTAATTTGGAAAATTTTAATATGGGCTAGGTGAAGAGAATCCGATAATGTTGATTGTTATGATTATACTGACGTTATGGCTATCTAATGGTATTTTAGCAGTTTTAATACTGAAAGAACCAGATAATTGTTTTTGTTAATATTATAAATAAAAGATTAAGTAATGTTGGTTATTTTGTGCATTGAATAATGATTCAAATATATTTGAGAAATAAGCAAAAAATATATTAAAAACTTTAGAATGAATATTTAGTCTATTGATGTTTTTTCTTTGCTTTGTAAAAATGACATTTTATTATTACAATTTAAATGGTTGAGACATATTATTTTCAACCACTTATGTTTGTTATAGGCGTTTGCACGGTTCTGGATGGACCATGTATGTCGTCAGACCATTGCCAAGTTCAAGGCTACATCACTTCCTACTGTGATGATAAATTACTTCACAAAGTCGATGGAAGCCATGGCATATGCATAAAATTAGTGACAATGATGTTTGAACTTCTTTTGAAAGGACTTCATCTGCAGACACGGTGTAACGTTTCCGGAGTACCTTTATTTTTAGAGGAAAGAGAACCTGGGAATTTTAATTCTGATAAGACAATATTTTTCTAAGTGTGAAACTTGTAGTTAGGAAGGGTGAGGTAAATAAGCTATATTTTGACTTAGTGTCGGATGTTGAGTGAGAACATAAAACAAACTCGAAACAAATAGTGTAACGGTAATTTGATCATGATACGCTCAAAGTCTAAGTAAGGACAGAAGGGGACCGCCAAGCTAATTAAGAAAGTTTGACTTTTCGATGATGCATGTTCCTAATAAGGAAATTTAGATTAGCTATTGCAATGGAATTATACGAAAGGAATGTCGGATCTGAGGGAATAAGAAAAAGAAAGTATCACATAGATCTGTCAAGGGGTCTTAATTTCAAATACGTGGAAATTTTTAATCAAGCCCTACTTAGCAAACAGGTATGGAGAATTCTACAACACCCAAATTGTTTGATGGCTCGTATCCTTAAGGCGAGATATTTTTTTGATGGAGATATTTTGAAAGCAACTTTAAGAAAGAAAGCCTCATATGCTTGGAAATCTATTCTTCATGGTCATGATTTGCTTATCAAAGGGATGAGATTTATAGTTAGAGATGGCTCTTTAGTAAATATGTGGACAGACCCTTGGATTCCAGATCATCCTCCAAGACCACCTTGTGCTAGAGGAGAGTATCAGATAAATGAGTAGGTGAATCTGTATATTGACCCTACAACAAAGAAATGGATGAGCCGAAGCTGCGGGAAGTCATTGTTGATGAAGATGTTGAGAAGATTGTAACTCTGAAATTAATTGGTTCAGCACGTCAAGATTTATTGGGATGACATTATAATGAAGATAGTCTTTATACAGTGAAGTCGGGTTATTGGTTTGGTACTCATTTACCAATGAATAATCCACCTCTCCGTACTTCTGGAACATCGGATCTAAAGAATAAGATATGGAAGACAAAAGCTCCAACGAAGCTAAAACATTTTCTATGGAGATTGCTGTCAAAGAGTTTGGCACTTAATGCTAACTTAAAAAGAAGATATGTTGTCCATAATGATCAATGCAGACGGTGTTGCTCGGCTGTGGAAACAGAGGAACACTTATTTTTTGAATCTCCTTAAGCTAAGAGAGTATGGTGTTCTTCAGGAGTCTCTGATCACATCATTAATAGTCTGAATACTACTCTGGAGGAGAAGATTTAGGCACGTCTACAATGTTCATTATCAATCCGACTATCTCATCTTCAAGATTTACCATTCTGGCTTCTTTGGAGGCTTTGGAAGAGTAGAAATACTCTGATATTTCAGCATATAGAGATTCATTGGAGAAGAATATTAAGGTATGTAAAGGAGGATGCGATAGAATGGAAGCATGTTGATCAACAAGAAGTAGATAACCATATTAGTAGGGGACAGAACTACGATCATCATTACACCATAAGTGGATGGAAAAGACCAAAGTTGGGATGGTATAAATGTAATACAGATGGTGTTTTCCAGAGTTCTCAAACTCAGAGTAAAGCTGCATGGATTATTAGAGATGACCAAGGGGTTTATAAGGGAGGAGGTCAAGCAAGGGGGAAAACCTGTCAAGATGCTTTGGAAAGTGAATTGCAAGCAATACTCATGGCATTACAACATTGTTGGTCTCATGGGTATCTTCGAGTTAATATTAAAAGTGGTAGCAAGAAAGAAATTGAAATTATGAATAATAACAGACTCCATTTTGCTTATTATAATTGGAAAAGAGAGATTGGAAGCTGGTCACAAAAGTTCCAGAAGGTTGAGTTTCCATGGGTTAAAAGGAGTGCAAATAAGGTGGCTGACTGTTTGGAAAAACAACTTGAAGATGGAGAAGACTTTGTATTTCATTATTATATGCCTCAGTTTTTAAGTTGTTTGTTGCATGAGGATAATGTAAACTCAAGGTTCTAATCTAATAAAGCTGATGTTATATAAAAAAAAAAGATATGTCAGGTCATTAATGGTGGGATTTAATAGAGCCAAATAAGGCAAAATTATTAAATGGCTACCTTGGTGAGGGATTTTCAGTACTTATTCTTGACAAAACAAAAAAAAAACGAGTTTATGGTGAAGTATGAGCAGTAACGACTTTGTAGAGACAATTTCGAGAAAAGGGATCAAACAAGGAGGAGCTACATATTTCTTTGCTGGAAAACGCTATGAAATTTCAGATTCTTTGAATCTTAAAGATTCAGATGAGGTGAGAGTGTGATTTGTGGCAACTCAATAATCAATATTTTTTTCCTAATTTAGATCATTAGGATGGAGATACACTGCACCGCATCTGCAACCTTTCGATAAGCTTCCAAAGCATCAAATCCCGAGACAAATTTACTGTACAGGAACAACGTGAGGTGTAAGAAATTTGCTCCTGGCAAAACGGTAATGATTCTGGAACAAAGGCTCACTCCACAAACTGATGCGCTACAAAGCCTTCATGCTAACCAAATAAGAAACATTCTGATGCTCAAAGGAAGACGCCATGCTTGAAGAACAGCTGTCTCACATTCTGGAATGATAGTACCGAGATTACAAGAAATTTAGAACATGAGCGTATAAAATCAAGGATATTCATGATCTATGTCTACTTATGAAACACCAAAAAGTAGAAAAGCCGGGTAAAGTCATAAAAGCATATCTTTCACTCCATTTCTTCACAAACAAAGATCCCTTCCTATCCGACTTGGGTAATTCCTCAACGATAGGAAAGCCACTTTGAGGACGGAGATAAAACCGCTCCTCGCCATTGTTAGAGAAGCCAGCTGATATGCAAAAAGGACTTCATATTCCAAAGGAGATATTTTCAAACTCGCCAAGGTTCTGATCGCTATATGAGAATTCTCCAAGTGGTACAATTAAGTTGAGATGACGAA